TTTTAGTTACTTTTACAATAACAAGTAAAGAATAAATATGAAAAACTTGCATAATCTTTTTTTTTCTTGCTGTCGGGTGTCGAAGAGAGTTAACCCTAATTTTTTATACTATAGATAGTAATGCACTTAATAATTTTTATTTAATTAAATAATGCATCAAACAATATAGACTAATAACATATAAAAAGCAGACAAATTCGCTTACCTCTCAAAATTATCCTGGCTTTTTAACTATGCGACAAGAGCCGTTACAAATTCATCTAATCTAGTCATTAATTTTCCCATGGGAATGAATCTTGTACTTTGAGTGAAATTGACATCTAACTGTTCAGAACTTAATGTTATACCATACTTCATTTGATAGATGAAAACCTTGACTTTCTACTGGTTATAAGTAATATATAATGAAACATAACAGAGAACTATCAACAAATTCTGAAAGAGAGGATGTGACAGGTGGGTATGGCAGAAGGGGTCTGATTTTCTATTCGTTAACTCTGTAACCAAACAAAATTGAAGACTTTAAAAATTATAGTTTGTCTGAGTAATAACAATTTTATAGAGAGTAATTTATGTTTAATTTCATACATTTTCAAGGCGTGATGGATAAAATAATGATGATGACATGTTAAGACAAAATGTGTCATATTGGTCACACTAGTAGAAATTTGGTATTTTTTAAATATTGCCTTGTAGAATTAAGAACTTAAAACTTGTATACTATTAAAATATGGTTTATTAGCTAAGATTTTATGCTACTCTAATTGGTATAATGCAAACAAAAAGTAGTATAATAAACTTTTGAATGTAAGAAACTAAAACCTTGTGTCATGTGGAGTAAAGGAAACCCGTGGCGATAGGGTTAAATAGCAGTTTATCAGATTCCTGCTGAGGTTAAATAACTCAAGAACAAAAACTTTCTAATATTATGTCTTAGAAAACGTATATAGATATAAGATAACATTTTTCATTAATTCTGGGGCGAGGCATGGCCTAATGGTTAGAAATCTGAACTTTGAATTCTGAAGGGACATGACTTGTATCCTATTATTACAAAGCTAAACCATGCTTTGGGGCCATGGGTGAATTATAAGAGTCAAATCACACTATTTGAGTAAAGAGCAGCCCAACAATTAATGGTTGGTGCTGTTGACTAAGTGCCTTCACTTTACTTCATTGGCTCAAAACTAGTGACAGCCTATATTTTCATCTTGTTTTTATTCTCTTGAATACATAAATAGGATATGAAATTAAATTACCCCTTTAGATGATGAGTCTCTTTACCTTCCAGTACATCAAAAACTTAAATCTTTTCAATATATCTTACTATATATTATGTGTTTTTAATTGCCTACTTTTGTTTATTAAAATATTAGCACATGCGCATAACTTGCACATTCTTAGCTAATGACCTAATAATATGTTGTTACATGTTAATTCTTGCCTGTGACAAAGTTTTTTTCTTTACTTGTTTTTTAATGCAGTGTTTCCATACACATAAGAAGTTTGTACTTATAACCAAGTTCTAAATATAACAAGGTTCCAACTGTAATATTTATTGTTTATCTATTATTTGCTGGTAATTCCTGTTTCACCACATACTTAAGCTTTTAAACGAAACACCAAATTACTGTAAGAAAGCTAACTTCAAGGGGTAATGATAACATCATTTACACTAGAATTATGATTTTTAAAAATTACTACCAATTATTAGTAATGCTTATAAAAGCAGATACGCCATTTGAAACTATGTCACCTCAGTGAAGTTGGTTAACACCACTGTTTTGGTTTTGATTTATATAATAAAAAAGAAATAGAAGAAAGAAGAACAAGAAATTCAAACTTTTTTACAATATTATTATGAAAGGAAACACTGTATAGTATTGTAAGGTTCTGATGAATTATTAAGGAGATATCTAAAATACCATTTTGACAAACAATCTGAGCCATCCCTACAAAGGTAGTGCTACAGCCTGCCTGATAAATTTGTTACAATCTTCTGTTAAAGCTTGTCATGCAAAATTTGTTTGTAACCTAGAGAATAAAATATTCTAAAAATTTAAACTTTCAGTTTCTAAGCATATTTTTAGTCTTAATTTTCTAATAGTAAACATATGTTCAATAATAAACAGTCCCTTTACATAATTTTCTGATAAAATACAAAAAGCCTGGTTTAAAGAGAATCCATAATTACATGCTTTGAATTACTTATAATCAAACCAAGTTTCTGTTTTGAATTTTATTTCAACATCTCTTCTATTATCCACATGGGCTTATTCGTTTCAGGAGCTTCATGCAAAACTAAAAAAAAAGGACTACATGTGTATTTATGTTTCAACATGATCATGTGTTTGATGTTGTGAGATGATTTACTGCAGACTTTCCTATACCTTATGCTCTGAAATCACAAGAAAATAGCATTAAAAACAATAATTTGTGATACTGTATAAGCATTTTCCCTTTTATAAAAGTTTTAACAGGATGAAATGTAATATTTTTCATTAAAATAAACTAAAATCAGATGTTAGGATGAGAATTTTATTCCTTGATAATAAACGTCTTTTGAACATTTTTTTTAAGTTGACTAGCATAAAACTGAATCTGAAGTTTACATAACTATATTCTGAAGCAAATAAGACTCAGATTTATTACAAGAATAAAATTAACAATTATATTCACATCCTGTCCTCAATCCCTCCCGTCCACTGACCTTGCAGTATGCTAGTAGGATATAATGCTAAAATCTGGGGTTTCATCCTCAAGGTGGCCACAGTTTAGATAGACTATTGTGTAGCTTTGTGCTTAACCACAAAACCAACATATTATGGCATGTCATAATGTTAAAACAATTTTCTTTTTAGTTTTCAACATATACATGATAATTACAATTTATTTTTTTCTATAGATTGCTGCAAATTTCTTCCTTCAATGGAAAAATGAATGCTCTTAATGAGGTCAACAAAGTGATAGCTAGTGTGTCTTACTACTCTCATCGCCATACAGGCGTTGAAGAAGAAGAGTGGCTTACAGCAGAAAGAATGGCAGTAAGTTAGAAGAGACAGAAAGTTTTGTATATATTTTATAACATCAAAATATTTAAATTTTTTGTTTGAATGTAATTAACACTTCCTGAAAAAACATCTATTTTTGATGCAATAATCATAACATTTTCTTAATGTTAATTCAGATCCTTGTCAAGCAACTTTAAGTACATATTTACCAGCAAGCAGAATCATATCTTGTTCTAGTCATTTGGCTGTATGATTTTTGAATGTGGAACCTGCTTCTGACTTGCATGTTGTGAACTGTATGTTGAATTAACATCTTCTTTCTCAGCTTAGACCTAGACATTGTTTTTCTTTTTGTTGATATGTTTTGATTTTTTTTTAGGAGTGGATAAAAGAAAACAAGGTTCTTCAGATTGTTCTAAGAGATAGTTTACACCAGCCTCAGGTAAGTACTCATAGTAAGTAATGATCCCAATGAATTAGGTTTCTGTAACATGGCTGATTATGTTTATACCTCAAGATAATTGTTGTTTGTTAACAAACACTGGATGATAGCTAATGAGTTGCATCACAACAGAATTGTTGGTATGTGTGTGCTACAAATAGTAATAATATAGGATATCAAGAACTTTAATAACTTTGTAAATAACTTTTAAGATAAATTTCCAAATTATTTCACTAATAAAGCAGTTAATTATTCCATAAGTTCAGTTTTTATTTTATGGTATTTTAAACTACAAAGGGAATTATGTTCATTATATCTGATATTAAGAGAAAAAATAATGAAATATGTGAAATATATATTGATTACTAAAAATTATGATCTTATATAAAAGAACCTATAGTGTCTGTTGCAAGCTGGTATTGTGTTTATTAATTTGAATTCTCAAATCCAAAACCAATTGTATTTTTGATTTCTTTATTTGCAAATAAAGAAAGGTAATTCCAGTTATCATAAAATATATTCTCCATGGCAGTCAATGAGCAATGTGATTTGGTTCTGTTCTCGGAGTATTCCAAGAGTTGGTGATGGGTGTTGTTGACTAGTTGCCTTCCCTTTAGTTTATCAGTTCAGTAAGCATAGATAGCCTTGTGCTTCTCTGTGCCAGTATCTAAAACAAACAAACAAACAAATGCATCAACTAATTGAAACTTGACTTGTACAATTTTAAAAGAAATAAAGTGTTATATTTTTTCACTTGAATTGGTACTATTCATAAGAACTAATTAATCTTTTCAAGGCCATATCAGAACCAGTGTAAAAAAATTTCATTATGTACCTTGTTTTTTTTAGTGTGCTTTATTATGTGTGTGTGGTATACAAGATATATTATCTTTTTATAGTATGTAGAAAAATTAGAAAAAATTATAAGATTCATCATAAAAGAAAAGGCACTGACTCTTGAAGACTTAGATGACATCTGGGCTGCTCAAGCAGGAAAACATGAAGCTATTGTGAAGAATGTTCATGATCTTCTTGCTAAACTTGCCTGGGATTTTACCTTGGAACAACTAGACCATTTGTTTGAATGTTTCAGAGTAAGAAGACATCATTGTTTTTTGTTGTTATTTTTTAGTTACAGTTTATGATTTTGTTGAATGTTCATTTACATGTTGATACATTCAAACATCCTTACACTAACTTTTCAAGATTTTACTTAGGAGATCCAGGTTTCTTGATAAAAGTCTAAAAAATGAAAAATTACTTACTTTGAAAGTGTATCGTATGTGTTTGATTCCTAAATTTGAACAATTATTTAAAATTTTTTGTAACGTTCCTTTCTTCTTTTTTTTTCTGGATGCACATTGAAAGCTTGATTTATTGCAGAGCACTAAAGATGTTGGTATAATTAGTTTAAAATTTAATTTAAGGACAAACTTAATGTTAATTCACACAAAAGGTTTTGATTAGTGCATATAAATTTTCAAAAAATATAAAAACTTGACTGAGTACATATAAATTAAAGGATATATATATAACTTGAAAGATTTTATTCCAGAAAATTTTTTAAATATATCAATTGCAAAATGAAAATTACTTTGCAAACTGAAACAACTGGTCATTAAAAACATCTTTGTGCATGTGTTAGTGGAGGGCATAAGGCATGTATCGTTATGTTCAACTTTCTATACAAGACTGGGTGTTATTATAAAAGCTAACAAATACAAAACTCAAGGTCAGGAAGTGAAAATTAAGCTCTGAACAATTACTGTAACATTGTGAAACTAGAGGTTATGAAGATTTTACAATTTATGCATCAAGATTATTTTTACCCTTAGAAAACTTTAAGAAGCTCTCTTATTTTTTGCTTTAAATTATTTTTTCTTAATTATTAAAAAAAGCGTTATACAGTCTCTTCAAACCATTTTTGTATTTTAGTATTGTGATATTAATTGTGCAAACAGTGAAATAAAGTGCATTAGACTTCCATTAATGCAATTTTAAAAGTAATACTTAAGTAAAATTGAGTGACTATTTTAACATTTCTGCATTCCTTGAGGAGAGAGAGTACACATTTTTTAAGAATTTTTAAGATCTCACCTAATAAAGAAAACTTTACATAATAAAATACATTATATAATTTATTTGTAATCAGTTTCAGCACTTTTACAAGTATCTTATGTTTTTTTTTTGACAATTATTGCTTAGTAATTAGTTTGCCCCAGCTAAATGAGTGAATAAATTTAATGGACAGTTTTTTTAAATAATGAAATATTAACGTAAAAGTTGAGAAAGAAATATATATAGAAGATATGATCTTTTTTTTTATATTTTAAGTAATTTTTTCAAGACATTTAGGTCACATACAAGTAACTTGCTTAAATCTTGCATTCCTGGGTGGAATTATATATATATTGAAATCATTAGAAGAGTGGTAGTAATAGCAAAGCAACTGATTTATTAATTTTCAAGTAAAATTTATATTAAGCTGTTGTTCTTTATCTCAGTTATTAATATTTTCCCCTACCTAACAAAACACTGTATCCTGTCAGTTTTTATTTTTCATACCACAAAGTTACTGTTATACTAATTAACTAACAAAAAAAAATGGCATTATGGATAACATGAATAACTTTTAAACTTTAGTAATTTATTCTTGCTTCTGGCCACTAGAAACTAAGCTTTGTCATAAGTTTGTACACAGTCCCTACCTCTTTTACTCTTAGATGGATTTTGTTAGCAAAATTTATAGAATTCTGAATACAATATTTTGTATTTATATTTCATTAAGCAAGAAAATGATTTTTCAACATTAAATTACAGTAAATTTGTGTTATTTTATTTCAAACTATAGAACCATAAGCAATCTTAACTTATTACCCCCTGATGGCTTACCATTTTTACATATTGAAAATTGGATTTTATACATACTGGCTATTTTGGGGTATTTTCAAGTTGCTTGTTCGTGAATAGTTATATCCTGAACCCTTAAAGTTGACTTGTTAATCTGGCAAAAGGTTAAATTAATCTTATGCACTGCATACAATAAGAAGTTTAATTGAAACTAACCAATTTTAATATTCAATAAAAATGTAAAAACATTTTTGCCCATCCCATTTAGTAATAGTTCATAATTCTTTAACTGAAGCTTCCTATATCAGTGTGCATCTAGTTTTATTCTTCCATAAGAGCATCAGATACAATTATGTATTAGGAGAGTGAGAGAAAGTAATAATATACATTCTACATAGCAAGAAAAATCTAAGCAAAAGTTTCAGGTATGACTTGTTATGGATGGAAAGATATCTTGTGAAAGTTTACACTTGAAAATATTACTTCAAAACATTTAGGAAAGGTTGTAAGAAGTTGAAAGGAAAGATTTCTGTACAACTGAACCACAGGAATACTGCACAATACACTGGGCATGTTATGTGCTGACTAGTTAAGTTTGATGTATTATTTTTGTCTCATTTCTTATTGATCTTCATACTCTCCAACTCAATTTATAACATCAGATTCAAATATCATACAAATATTAAAAAAGTTAATGTAATTGCACTTTTGACTGGAAATAGGTGGGTTTCTGTTTATTCTTAAAATGTAAAATTATATTTTATATCTCCCCTCCATGAAACTCCTTTCACCCCTCTTTGGGAAAAAACTGGAAATGCCGTAGATGTTTTATTCATTAAAAATGGTTATATACTTAACTTTAAAACTGAAGTTTAAGCAAATTTGTGTGTTTTATTTTTATTATAACCAAAGTCAGCTTAATTTTTAAGCTTTTGATAAGATATCATTTTGCTATGATCAGACATTAGGGTTGGTAATAATTTATAAAGCTAAACCCCAGTAAAGCAAAAGAATTGTTAAGCTATACATGTTTTTCAGTTTGTATTGAATGAAATGTTCATAAGGATTTTAAATGTGTTTATAACATTGATAATACTTCAGTTTTCTAGTAAGATTTATTGTTGAAATTATTTTCACTAAACAGAACATAAATTATATGTATAGGATAAAGTATTAATTTATTTTAGAGCCACTTCAAACAATTTGACATTTGTTAGTTGTTTTGGAATAAATAAATGAAGATATCCTCAGTGTATTCTTTACAGACTTCCTTGCACACATGCAAGAGCTTTTATAACAAAAATGGGTTCAGTATCCTGAAACTTTGTTACTAACAAGCACAATAAATGTTTTTCACTAGCTTATGACGTATTGCTGAAAGACTGATAAACAGTTTCAAATATTATTTTTCTTGTTTCAGGCAAGCTGGGCCAATGCCACAAAAAAACAAAGAGAAAAACTTTTAGAATTAATCCGAAGGTTGGCTGAAGATGACAAAGATGGGCTTATGGCTCACAAGGTATAGCATGCTATTGCCTGTATATGTTTTAGATCCTAGTGGTGGAACATTTAATAACCAAACATTAAGTAAATTCAGTAAAAGTTATGGGTTTTATTTCAAAGCATCTGATTATTGTTTTTATAATACAGAATAGTGTTCATTCTTTTGAGCATTTGTTTATAGCTATTGCATTATGTGAGGTTTTTATAATACAAAGATGTTTGTTTATAAGCAGTATTTACACACACACACACATATGCAAGTAAATTTTCCCTTCACTGAAATAATAATTGTTAGTTAAGTAATTGTATAACTGCATTTTTATTTTCATATTTTCAGCTTAATGTATAATGGGAAAATTAAAGATTTAGGAAAGTACCAAGCATACATGTTATTTTTTTCTGTCTGTGTGTAAATATGTTTGTTTAAAGACTCCCAGTCGTTATATAAATGAAATATAGAAATATGTAATAAAAATTATCTGTACTTACAAGTTTTATTAATTTGTACCTTTAATTAATCAGTCATTATTACAAGTGATGTGTTGCATTGTAATACAATTCTGAAATTAATTTGATAAAAAAAAAAGTATTTTGTCCATATTTTGTGTAAGGATACAAAGGTGACATGTTTATTTAATGAAAAGCTTGTATTCTACCATGTTGTTTCACTGAATATATCACCTTAATCTGCTAAGTACACCTAGCTCAGAACTTAAATGCAAGTTGTGTCTATTGCTATAACTCAGTTATGTCAAACTTTCTACTTTTCCTTTTTTGTTTTAAACATCCTGCCTTTTTTTCCTACTTTTTCCTAATTTTCATTATGCAAAAGTGATTGAATATGTATCATAAAAACTCTTGTGTATTATATTCATATCACACGAAAATTAAACACTATCATACGATTAATTATTATTCTTAAATGACAGTCTGTGAACAACAGATACAGGACTTGAGTATTTTCATATTTAATATCTTGCATTATATGTAATAAACAGGCTGCAACAGTATCTGTTATAGGAGAGGGTAGAGTAATGTGGTGTAATACCCTGGTGTGAAACATCCTATTTTTTAAATGAAATTGTTTGACACTCTGAAATTATGAACCTTCTGAGTAATACGACAAACTGGTTAAAAAGACTGATTCCTGTGCTGTCACCAACAGGACAATTGAAATACGAAGGAGTCACTTGTGAATGTGTAAGTCATCAATGACTGTTGTGGAGGCTCCTCATAAAAAATCTGTCACAGCATTTTAAATGCTGTTCCAAAAAATAAGTAAAAAAAATATTACTCTAGTGATTTGAACGGGCCTAAACGTTGAAAACCTCAAAGAGCCTGAAATAGCCAATAACATCCAATTTTTTTAATGCTTCATATTTAAAAAAAATTTATATCTATAGAGATACAGAATTTTTGTTCTTTGTTTAGAATATAAAATTCAGTTCATAGTTGTAGCTTAACATGCCTTCAAGTTGTAACATAATGTGCTCAGTGATGTATGAATATTCTCAGCTACAGTAACTGTCAAGTTGAAGTTGAAAAACAACTGTTTGAAATACATAACCATATTTTGTTCTTCAAGGCTTAGTTGATTATAATATAGCAGCTCAACCAAAGAGATTTTGCTAAAACTAGCCTGTATTTCAGTTTCAGTCAGATTTAGCAGACAATAGTGGAAGGCCTTTTTTAAGATAATGTGTTTTTTTCCTATCAAAGGAATATATATATGTTTATGACCTTAAAGATTATTTCCATTAGTAAAAAATATAAGCATATACACTTACAAAACAAACCAGTGTGTAACATTGTTGGTGATTTTTCAGGTCCTCAATCTCCTGTGGAACCTTGCCCATAGTGATGATGTTCCCACTGACATCATGGATCAAGCACTTACTGCCCATGTGAAAATCCTTGATTATAGTTGTTCACAGGTAATTGTCAAATATGTTATAATCATTAATCTGAGTTATTCAGATGGTGTTGTTTGTTCACAGTGTTTATTCAAATGCTGTTTTGGTATCATTTATCTAATTTTTCTGGAAGTAAAAGTGACTTGAAATTTAATGTTTGGTAGTAAATGTAAAATACATTGAAGGGTAGTGAAGGAACCTAGACATGAAAGCATAATGTTTAATGTTCTTTATATTGTGTTTGTATTATGAAGAGTGCAGTTTTAGTTTGTGTTTTAGGTAATTATAGGTTTTGAAAATGAAATTAATTTTTTTCTTCTAAATCAGCCTATTTGAAAAATATGTTATGATAGTACCAGAAACAATTTACAAGAGTAATACATATGTATTGCTAGAGCACTATATTCACATTTCAGTAATTACTGTGTAATGTTCCCTACCATATTCATATTGAAGTGATGAATTGAAATGTACAGAATGAGTTGAAGAAGTTTACCAAATAATGAGATGCAGAAACTTGGTTAAAAAATTTATTTTTAGTTGTTTAAGTATTACTCCATAAAAACAAATGTAACAGAAAGTTTTGGTAATGGTCCAAATTTAAATAAAAAAACCTAAAACTGCATTTTGAAGTGCTGTTTTTTAAGAGAATAGTAAGATATGTTCTTTTAATCATGATCGTTGATGAGCTCATTTTCTACTCTTGTATGTTACAAATTTTAAATATTTATATATATGCTTTTCATTTTGGGAGATCTAAACAAAAGGAATTTACCTCATAATATAAAAAAACTTGTACAAAAGAATATTGTTTCATCATTAAGTAGAAAGAGATTAAAAAATAAATCAAAACTTACATGAATATTGTATTTAAGATAGACACATTTTAAAGAATCAAGAGTTGAACTTGAATATTCAAATTTAAGATTTTTCTTTCAGAGCTAGATAATACTTGTTGATAAAAAAATAAACTTTTTTACAGCTTTTTCACTCTATCCGTTATTTTTTATTTTTATTAAATATATAACTGAAAACAAAAAGATGAATATAAGTGGCTTGGAAAGATATTTACCAGTTTTTGTGTGTATCTATAGGTTAGGGCTTGAAAATAACTGTTTTTGACCACTGGCAAATAATACAAACTAATTCATGAGTTCTGTGACGTCAGCGAATATAACTAATCAGTTGATGTGAATTTTCAGGAAATTTATCATTTTTGATTTCTTACTATAAAATTTTAGATTTATGTTTGTGCTAATGGTTACATTTTCCTAGTGTGAAATGAAAAAAGAAAAAAATCTGAAACGCCACTTTGATACACTGTGTTTGCTTGGTATTTTAGACTAAATTTTGGGAATTTCAGTGAAATATGTACAAGAATAATGCTTAACATATTACCAAAAAACTTATCAACTGATTATTGCATAATGGGCATGCTTGTAGCCAGCTCTTTTTACAAATATTTTTAGTCATTGAACTGGTCTGAATATTCATAATCATGCCTTGATTATCAGTTTGCAAAAGAAATACATATAGTGCCTCTTCATGATCTCTCGCTAAACACTAGAACTACTGCCAATTTTAAGTTCTTCTTAGGTATATAGAAAGAAAAAAAAATTTCCTGTATAGGTTATTTTGCAGACATTTAAGGTGTACCAACAGGTAGACTTTGAATAATAAAGTTGGTATTTATATTTACTCTTATATTAGTTGGATGGCAAAGTCTATAAATTTCACCTTTGTAGAACTTTTTGGTTATAAGTTTGAAACTGCAATTTTCCATCAGAACAAATATATATGTATTCATCTGTTATTTTAATTTTTAAAGTTTATACTTAACTTTATTGGAAGAAATAAAGTGGGCACAAAAGTGTGTGAGGAATGTAGGAGCACCCATACTTTATTCATTTCACAATTTAACAACAACTATGACGAGACTAAGTTTAACTGAAACATGTAATACCAGCATATTTATATATTTTTTTGTCTATTAATGTACAGAAGCATGGTCAAATCGTAAGTGAATATTATTTAACAAGTGTGTAAAGTTAGATTGTAGACATGTAACATCATCATGTGTCTGGAGTTTGGTATGTCTATATCCAACTGTTGTCCTGAGAGCAAACACATGCTCCAGTGCCTCATAAGTGTATGCTAGTACAGCTGTAGCAAGCAGTGAGACACCAACTTCCTGTTACTTTACACTCCCAAGTTTTGACTTCTAGTCTGCTGTCTGGAATTGGATTCTTTGTCATCAGTAGTAGCATTAAATGATTTTTTTTTCCATGCATTATCCGTAAGAAAGGTAGAGACTGTTTTGCTATAAGACACTGGTTCCATTTAAAATGTGCAAGTTTCAGATGAAAAATTAGTGTGGCTTTAATTGGAGGGAGAGAATCCACATTGGTTTTAATCTTCAGAAACATTGAGCAAAGCACTTACTTGTATATCGGTTGCTGATGTTGCAGGATTACACAATCAACAGATGAGTTCCTACACAGTTGCCATAGTACAATCATCAAAAAACTGTTGGTTGCAAAGCCATGTACCAGGTGTGAATATATCAGAAATTTCTTCCATGTAAACTTTTTTTGTGATACCAGCAAAGTCATTTAAGTCAGCTTGTTATTAACTAAAATGCCAAAAAACTCTTGCATACCTTGTTCAAAGGGCAACAAAACAATAAAATTAAGTATAAACAGATGTAGACTGTTACGAGCTTTAATCTATTTAAGAATATACGGTTGCAGTTTCCTGTTACAATCTGCAGTAATTCTAGAAGGAAAAAAAGGGTAATTTAAATTAATTTTTTATGGTGGATACAAGGTTGGTAAAATCGGACAAGTCCATATAGAGTTAAGGTAGCAAAAGTGACATAAAACAATATTTTACTTTTTAAGAACTTTCATATTTATTTAGGAAGTTTTATAAATTATGCAGAAGAAATCTGAAAATTTTCAGATCAAAAAAATATTTTTTATCTTAATATGAAAATAACTTTGCACTCTGAGCAGTCAACACTCTAACTCCATATATTCATGGACAAATTGTTAGTAAAAATACTAAATTCAAAAATCTGATTATTATTATTCTTTTATGTGTAACGGACTTGTAGTGTTTACTGAAAGCTTGCCAAACTTTGCAAAGATATACAAAGGTTAAAAGTTATAATATGGAAACTGATGGTTATTTTGTGGTTACAAGGTCGGTCATATTGACCAACCTCATATGGAAAGAATTAAAGAGCTGTGACATATATAATTGTCCAGCCATATGGTATTGTACTGTTGAACAGTTAGAAAGCTGCTGTGAGACTTGTAATGTTTACTGAAAGCTTGCTAAACTTTGCAAAGATATACAAATGTTAAAAGTTATAATATGGAAACTGATGGTTATTTTGTGGTTACAAGGTCGGTCATATTGACCAACCTCGTATGGAAAGAATTAAAGAGATTTGATATATATATAATTGTCCAGCCATATGGTATTGTTCTGTTGAACAGTTAAAAAGCTGCTGTGAGCCAAACATTTGGTGCTAAGCATGTTACCTGCAGTGCTACAGCTCATAACACAACACTGAGTAGCATTTTCTCATCAGACAGGTTGTCCATTTCAGTAACATCTTTTAACAACAATAATAGTTTTATGTAAGAGCCATTTTAAGCACAATTTGTGTAGAATCAAACAATTAATTTTTTAGAGATCTTATGCTTATTCATTTGATCATTACTTTTTAATACAAGTTAGAAAATTTCAGAGTGAAATTCTGCATGTGAAACAGATGAAATTCTCTTGGTCTTTTTTTTTATTAAATCCCAGGAACGAGATGCTCAGAAGACATACTGGCTGGACCGGTGTGTGGAAGAATTAAGAGCTGATCGATGGGTTATACCAGCATTAAAACAGATAAGAGAAATTTGTTGCCTGTATTCTGAGGCTCCTCCCAATTGTAACCATGCTCAGCGTTTACCTCACATGTTTTATCGACATGAAGTTATCAACAGGCTACAGCAACATCATTCCCTAGTTATTTTAGTGGCTGATAACCTTACTACATATATGAACAAAGCTCGAGCACTGGCTAAAGGTTTGTCTGATTTGAAATAGCTACCTGTTTTTTATATAGGTAGATATCTGTAATGTAATAGTGTACTAGTGTAATGTTTGCCAATACATGTATGAAGCCTAGATATTTTAGTTTTATTTTCTGATGAACTTGTAAAAGAAGATACTAATTCAAGCTTTGTCAGATATGAGTATTTTTTTTTTCTTTTACAAGTTTTAACTTGTATTTGAAATATAAAAACCTAAAATTTTTGTATTACACTCCCCCCCCCACACCCACACACAAAAAAGTCCATTCTTTGGCGAAATTGGACTCTTTTATGAAAAAAAATGGTTTCATTTGAAGAACATCTATGATTCACCAAATTTTACTGTGATTGGATTATTGACTGCTAAGTTGGCAAATGTTTTTCTGTTCTTAGGAAATGTCCAGATAAATGGCCAAATGTAGAGACCAGTTTAATAATTTTATGCATTGATTTGATAATTTCAACAGTTTGACATATAGTTATGGATGAATTTACCTTTGAGTATTAACTTAGAGTAACTTACAGTATTGCATATTTTGGAATTTTTTCTTTTTTAACCTTAATAGTGATAAAATAACTCACCAATGTTAATATCTTTTGTCTATATTACGAGATAAGGTATAGTTTTTAATTTTTAAGAAGTATATGATAAGATACCTATTTAAACCTCAAATATATGAAGGAATAGTAAGTTAACATTTGTAACTAAAAGTCTGTTAAAGATTATACTGACATAAATTAGGTCTAAATATTGATTTTTTTTTAAATGGGAAAGCTTTTTGCCCAATATAAAAGCTAATAGCAGATGATTAAGTTAAAGAGAAGTCAATCCAAAAGTTATGAATAATTTTAAAACTGGAAACCTTTAATTTCAGAACATCCGGAGGTTGATCCCAATGCACTTTCTTCAGACAGTCGATATACTCATGCCCAACAAGTCCAAGAACGACTTAACTTTCTCAGGTAAGATTTGTTTATAAGAGAGAGAAGTGTTCTATGTGTACACAAAATATATGTTAGTCCATATGAAAGAAACTTAATCGTACATATAAACATTCTTATTAAGAAGTTAACACAGGATCACATACAAAAGTTGTAATGGTTTTGTATATGTATATAAACATTTGTTTGTCTGTGTGAAAAGTTCTTAAATATTTTTATAAACCAATATGCTTAGTTTAAAATTTCATAAGCATTTTTTGTGAAATGTTATACCTTTATGGATTTGCCATCACAATTAATTTGACATTTGACCATGTAGGAATATTTCTGCTAGGACCAGTTTTTTTTTTCCATTGTCAACTCCTTATCAAGAAGCAGATTTGAACATGACATAAAAATATGCATAAGTTCAAATTCTAATAAAGGACCACTTACATGTGATGACAAAATATACACAAAAAATGTTTTTTGTGAAGTTCTAGATGAAGTTTAAACACTTTTTTTTGTAGATATCCTTATTGTAATGTAATTCATTTTTAGAAAATATGTTAATAATATTTTAAACATTTTCTGAAGCAGAATAAATAAGCACTTACCATATGATAACCATTCATCTAGTATATTATAGATGCTAATTTTTTTGTTGCTACTTGTGGTTGAAAACTACAGGAGAGGATTTCACTAATATTTGAAGAAGAATTTGTCAGCAGAGACTACAAGCAGTTGTAAAGAATTTGACTGATAACTTATGATTTTGTTTCTCAAGATATTTGGTATATAGTGTATCACTTATTAGACATCATAACCTTTTGATCAACAAAATATATTTGGGCTATTTTGGGCCAGTTCATTTTACATTTCAGCTATATTGTTTCTGTTTATTTTATCACATCCATATGTTTATGAAACTTCTATGCTTTTCAAGTTAAAATTAAACTGTCTTATAATTATTTTTGTGTCAAGGTATTATCTTTGTATTATCCATTTCAGAAACATCATATAATATAAGACCTGGTTCAACAATATATATTTTTTTAGAAATCCTATTTCAGACTGGTTCTGTTTTCTGAATATAAAGGGAAGAAAGAAAATGCTTTGTTGGATTCAGATTTCCTTACATTATTATTTTTTGTGATAGGTTCTTGTTGAAAGATGGTCAACTGTGGCTATGTGCACCCCAGGCAAAGCAGGTGTGTGATGAAATTTGTGTATTTTCATTTAGTGTACAAGTGTGACTTAGTCACCTATGCTTTCTCAAAGTATGTTCTTATTTCTTTTGGTTCTAACTCTCAATCTCTTTTGGATATGGATGTGTAATCGTAATCTATGAATTTTGTTAATGGTGTATATTCTGAACAAGCAATAACTAGTTAGCATTAACCAAAAAAATAAAGAAAGGTTAAGAACATCTCCATATAAAGTTATGAAATGATACTAAATATTATTGTTTTTATCAAGTATTGTGTGAGTCGAAAAAATTAATAGTATGTGATTGAATACACATCTATTTCCAGCAAAAAGATACCTACATATATCAACAAAATAAAAACCCTATGTGTGTTGCAAACCCCTTTTTTTTTTACTGCTGTAATGTCAGTACACTTGTAATGTACAAAGAGTTTTTCATTGCACATTTTTTCAGAACATCATGATAGTTCTATAAATGCACATGTTCAAAGTGTTTATCTGGTTCAGTTCATATGTTTGACATTATAATAAAACATTTGTGTGGGGGAAGCCAACTGCTGTTAATTGTGCATAATACTGGTATGCAAAATCTTTTTTCTTGCAAACAAATTAATTATTAGATGCTTCATTTTTCTTTACTAAATAACTGAAGAACTTTACTAATTACAAGTATTTTCTGTCATGAGTAAATTTATTTATTTAAATCATATATTGCAAAGTGGACAGTGGAACACTTAATATTAATTCACAGAGTAAATTTAATAAATAGCAGTCATGAGGTACATAATCATTTAATTTTATTATAAAAATACTTTTTTTTGTAATTGTTTAAGACCTGAAAAGTTGCATGTTTTAGCTGTTGTATATATTAGGTCAAGTGCTTAATGTTCGTAAAAAGTAATCTCATAATAAGTCTGCTTGATATCTTACTATAAAGATAATACATAATGTGTGTGTTATAATCCATCACCTTGAATTGACTGACTCAATTACCATATATTTTTTTTTTATGGTAACTGGAATCTCTCTGACATTGTACATGGGCTATTTTGTTTTAGGATTTTTGCCCTAGAAGGGTGATAAAAATAGCACTGAAATATGGTATATTTTCCATTTTTATAGATTTTTGGCTTTGAATTCAATAGCCTATGTTCTTAATTAGTTAAATAAGTCTGTTATTACACTCCACGAAACAGGGTAAGCAATTAACATGTCATACAATTTTTATTTTCATTAATTCTGCTTTAGTTAATTCTGTTTTTCAATAGAATACTGAAATCAGAAAACATCAAAAAAAAAAAAACAAATCAACTTGAAAGTACTTGAGGTTTGGACTTTTTGGATTTTTAATTTATGCTGTAACAGTAATTGTTTTCAAGAAAGTCCAAATAGAGTGGTTTTCCTTAACATTAAGTGTATTAACAACATAAATAATATACATATTTTTCAACATGAACTTGCCTTATTACTTAATATGTTAAGTTAATTGTTCAGTAACTTGAAATATGATAGTTTTAAACATATTTTTGAAATATATCAGATTTGAGTTTTTAGCATTAAGCTTTCTGGTGAATGTCCTTTTATACAGGAATATTACTTTTGCTGATTTTTAGATTTGGAACTGTTTGGCAGAAAATGCAGTATATACAAATGACAGAGAAGCTTGCTTTAAATGGTTTTCTAAGGTAAGAAGAGACTTCCAAACTTGATTATTTTTAACTGATAGAAGCTGTTGATCATGACAGCATGGTTTATATGTAAGTTACAAAAATATGAAGCTGTTTTTAGTGTTAACCCTAAAATGGATCTTTGTAACTATATCTAGTAATATATTTGTTCATGAAAAAGTGCTCTTTAAAAGTACATTATCATAGTATAGGTTCCAAAACAAATCACTGGCGTTAGCTAAAAGCCTAAATTTTGGGCAACTGTAGAAATGAAATACTGTATTAGCCTGAATGTATTAGAATGTTTTTTTTTCTGAAACTAAATTAATGAAAATCCATCTCGTACTGCATTTACAGCCTATGCTCTGAGGTGCCTACTAAACAATTGAGAAGTGGGCTATTTTGAGATCATTCACCTATCTCACCTTAGAATCTGAAATTGTTGCTGTTTGTCTAAATTTCAAAAAACTGCTTGACAAGTTTAGTTCATTTATTTCAGGTGTGTCTTTAAAATTGTGTTAGTTAAAATGGATAACCTGAGAAAGTTGTGATCTTGTGGAAAAGTATGGGATAAAAAAAGGTAAAATTATCAAAGTTATTAAGGAGGAGTTGTAAAAAGGGGGCTACTTGTGTTAGCTGCTTTTCATGGTAATTTGATTGCTGATTTTAAGAAACAACTTTCTACCATGAACAATGAACTGACTTAGTAATAATCCTTGGAGGAATGACGTTTTAGTTGAAAGTCTTTGACGTTGATTGTAAACAAACCACTTAATTCTCTCAACATGGGCTCGGTCAATTTGACGACAACGTGACATCTTTGTACTTGTTTAAAGTCTTTATAGATTTAATACTTGTAACTCTCAATATAGTGGGTATATCTTCACAAAATTCAGTTAATATTACAAGTCTTTAACATACAAAAACTCGTATTTCTTTGTGAAGTATTTTTTAATAAAATAAAGATATGTCCATGATTATATTGAGTATTTGTTTTGAATAGTCCGAGTGCAAAGTAATTTTCATGTTAGAATTTAAAATACTTTTCGTCAT